ACGTAAAAATGCAAGTAGAAAAATAGGAACCACCTTTGGTGGGAAGATAACAGCGTTCTATGCGCCTTTGGCATTGAGTCTTGTCGGCCACATGACCACGGAGATGTCTGAGGACAGTGCTGGCTGTTCGGCTTTGAAACGGAGATGAGCACCGCCCCCTAGATTCGGGAATGACTAGTACCTTGATGGCGAACCTATGGCACAGTGGCTGCTTAGCTCCAACAACTGCTTCCTGTTGGGGCCCTAAGGATCCCAGGTGGGCAGACAAGGAGTGGCTGGGAGGGGAGGGGCGAACAGCGACTGGCAAGGCACTCTTCTACATCAGTAACATCAAATTGGTCACACCTACCCAGTCACATGACCACCTAGCCACACCCATCCAACCAGTCAATAGGCAGATCATATTAGTGGTCTGTGGGATTTAAAATTATGAATTCAGTGGTCCCTAAGATCCAAAAGGTTGGGGACTCCTGGATTAGAAGACTTCTAAGGTCCCTTCCAGCTGTCTTCCAATTACTATTACTGTCTTTTCATACTTCAAAGCAGAAGTCCCAATGATCTAATCCCCCTTTCCCAGTCTCTGAATTAAAGAACCAGGATATGCGATGTGTCTGAATGTTGAGTTGCGAGGTGTATATGATGGACTTTTAGGACCAAACGATCGCTCCAGGTTTCATGATAAAATATTATTTTTTTTCTTTCTACCGTGTTCCAGATGAGAACCTGCCCTTTTATTATAATGAGGAGACCACCACTATAGGAGTGTCCAAACCCCTCGACCGAGAAGAACGGGAAAAGTACGAGATGTTGGCTCAGTGCACCTTGAAGGAAGGCTCCCAGGAGACGCTCAAGGAGGTCCCTCTGCTCATCCATATTCTGGATGAAGACGACATGCCTCCTTTCCTGTCCAATGGGACCAGCACAACGGACGCCATAGTGGAGTTCAAAAGAGAAGAGGTAAGCTGGCACAAGGAGAATTTTGTCCTTAGGCCTCGTGTTGAGATAGCTGGGTTGTAATAGTTACCGTGTTTTGGGGATTATAAGACGCACCTGACTATAAGATGCATCTATATTTAGAAGAGGAAAACAATAATAAAGAAAGGTTTGGGGCCTCTGCGTGCCTCATTTTCAGCCCTTTTGAAGGCCTTTTCCAGCCTTTTTTCTGCCCATTTTTGAACCTTTTTGGGCCCATTTTCAAGGCTTTTCGTGGGCTGTTTTTGAGGCTTTTTTAAAAACCTTTTTGGGGGGGGGGGACAAGCCTAAAAACGCCTCAAAAATGGGATGAAAAAAGGCCTGAAAAGGGGGCGTGCGGAAGCCAAAAAATGGCAGCGGGTAGGCAGGGCGTCAGCAATATTTGGTCTATAAGACACACAGACATTTTCACCCACTTTTGGGAGACAAAAAGTGCATCTTACAGTCTGAAAAATACAGTAAATATAGCAATTAAAAGATGCTTGCTCCTGGGGAGGAAAGCCATGGCAAATCTAGACAGCATCCTAAAAAGCAGAGACATCACTCTGCTTACAAAAGTGTATATAGTCAAGGCTGTGGTTTTCCCAGTTGAAATGGATGGCTGTGAAAGTTGGACCATTAGAAAGGCTGAGCGCTAAAGAATGGAGGCCTTTGAACTCTGGTGCCGGAGAAGACTCCTGCAAGTCCCTTGGACTGCAAGGCTATCCAACTGGTCAGTCCTAGAGGAGATCAATCCTGACTGCTCTTTAGAAGACCAGATCTGAAGGTGAAACTCAAATGCTTTGGCCACCTAATGAGAAGGAAGAACTCACTGGAGAAGAGCCTAAGAGCTGGGAAGGATTGAGGGCAAAAGAAGAAAGGGACGACAGACAATGAGGTGTCTGGATGGAGTCACTGAAGTAGTCGGTGTGACCTTAAATGGACTCCAGAGGATAGTAGAGGAAGGCCTGGAAGAAAGTTGCCATGGGTTTGCGATGGGTCGGACACAATTTCACAATTAACAACAACAATGATAGCGAACTAGTTAGCTAGCTAGACAGACAGACAGACAGACAGACAGACAGACAGACAGACAGACAGACAG